TAATTTTAGCTTTTAGCCATAGTTTAGCTATTTTTAACCTCTGACTTCAGTTTAGCTAATTTTAGCTTTTATCAACAATTTTGCTGGCCTTAGATTACAGCCATGTTTTTTGTTTTGCTAATTTTAGTCATTTGCCTTGGTTTTAGCCTCTAGCTACAATTTAACTAGTTTTAGCAATTAGCTACTAGTTCAATATTTTTGTATTTAATGATAGTTTTGCTAATTTTAGCTTTTAGCCATAGTTTAGCTATTTTTAACCTCTGACTTCAGTTTAGCTAATTTTAGCTTTTATCAACAATTTTGCTGGCCTTAGATTACAGCCATGTTTTTTGTTTTGCTAATTTTAGTCATTTGCCTTGGTTTTAGCCTCTAGCTACAATTTAACTAGTTTTAGCAATTAGCTACTAGTTCAATATTTTTGTATTTAATGATAGTTTTGCTAATTTTAGCTTTTATCAACAATTTTGCTGGCCTTAGATTACAGCCATGTTTTTTGTTTTGCTAATTTTAGTCATTTGCCTTGGTTTTAGCCTCTAGCTACAATTTAACTAGTTTTAGCAATTAGCTACTAGTTCAATATTTTTGTATTTAATGATAGTTTTGCTAATTTTAGCTTTTAGCTACTGTTCTCATAATTTTAGCTTTAAACCATGATTTGGCTACTCTTAGCCTCTACCTTCAGTTAAGCAAATTTGAGCTTTTAGCAACAATTTTGCTAATTTCAGTTTATGGCCATGCTTCTTGTTTTGCTAATTTTAGCCATTAGCCATAATTCTGCTCATATTAGCCTCAAGCTACAGTTTAGCTAGTCTTAGCTATTAGCTACTATTTTTGATAATTTTTTTGCAATTAGCTATAATTTTGCTAATTCTAGGTTTTAGCAACAGTTCTCATTATTAGATTTTAGCTATGATTCTGCTACTTTTAGCCTCTACCTTGAGTTTAGCTAATTTTAGCACTTCAGTACAGCTTAGCTTTTTTAACTCTTTAGCTATGGTTTTGCTCTTTTTAGATTAAAGCCTTGCTTTTTGTTTGAAATTTTAGTTGTTAGCCATGGWTTTGCTCTTATTAGCCTCTAGCTACAGTTCTCATGATTTTAGCTTTTAGCTATGATTTTTCTACTTTTATACTCTAGCTGCAGTTTTGGTCATTTTTTGTTTTGCTTTTGCCTTTTTTTTATTTTAGCTGCTTTTCTTGTTTTAATTTGAACATCTCAGTTTCAGCTCCTGGGGTTTGACAGAAAACATTAATGAAGATGTTTTGTTGGAGCTCAGGTAGAACTGGTTTCCAGTTCAGTTCTGGCCTTCAGCTTGTATTTCGGCTGTTTTGCTGCAGGTAAGGTAAAGGTAAGGGTAAAGGGATGTTACAGCTTCATGCTGATGATGCAGAACTGGGTTTAACTCTCCTGTTGTTGTCAGAACCCCAGGTTCTGTTCGGGGAGGACCCGGGGCAGCAGCTTGTTCGTCACAAAGGGAGATGATGTTCTGGACTCTGTTCTCCTGGGTCGTCCTGGGTTTTACACCGYAGCAGACCTGTACACTCTGTGAGAAGTGATTCCATCAGTTTGAACAAGATGACAAAGACTTCAGAGAGAAAACTTGGCCCCAAAGGGATGTGCTGTAAAAACAAGTCTGGTCCAATGAGGCCCTGTCACAGTTTTCAGGACATGAAGGATTTGTTCCAGCTGTCTTAGTGTCTGAAACCTCAGGGGAGTCCTGCAGGACTGCTGGATCAGGATGCTGCTATTTAAGATTTAATGATCACACAGAACAATTACAAGCAAAAATCTGAAAACACAGGAGCAGCTGGATGCCTGTGTTTCAGTCAGTGAATAAAAAGATGGATTCAGGTGAAGTGGTTTGATTAATCGGTTCTTTCCTCCTTCGCTCTCACCTCCAGCTTGTGGAGACTTCTTWTCGGAACCGTTACCTCCATCGTTGAGCAGCTTGTCCTTTTTCCTCCGTGTCGTCTTCCTCCTCTGAGCGGWGGCTTCGTGAAGAAGAGCGAACAGCAGAAGGCCGAGCCCCAGACCTCTGCTCAGGCTTCTCTGCAGCAACATCTGTGAAAAACAGGCCGACGGCTTGTAGGTTCGATTAAAACATCATGAAATCTCAAACACATTCCAGCATAACCTGCAAACTTCAAATTAAATAAATAAATAAACATTTATAATGAGGTATTTTAAGACARGTGCACCTAAAGTTACACTCTGAAACAAATACAATAAAAAAAAAACAATCTTACCTCATTTAGTGGCGGGCAGTGCTGGCAGTCCGGTTCAGACAAGTGTCTCTGGGAGGCATTTTGACCCCGCTGACGATCGGGGGGTCTCTAAAAACCAGACTGAGATCAACTGAGGGTCACCAGAGGAGCTGATACGCTGTGGCTCGCTGCCAGGGTTTCAGATAGCTGCGGATGGGCGGGAGTCGTTTGGGCGGAGGCTTTGTGATGACAGAAGTTAACACAAGTGACCAGCCGAAACATATGGGTTCGTCTGCACATTAGATGAATAAAAACAGTTATATTTGCAGGGGCGGAGCTAGACTTTTTTTTACAAGGGGTGGCCCAATGTGTTTTTAGGGGGCACATATAAAACTAAAAAATACTCTGGATTTGGACATTAAAGGGATCCCCGACTAGTTGTAATGTTAGACTTTATATGATAAACATATACTTTAACTGTAAAATAAAGACTAAAAATACTGTAGGATGTTCAGTTTTTATGATTTTTAAACTAAAAGTTTAAAATACAGTATATTACACGGACGGGGCCATTTTATTTACACGCAAAGCATTTTGGGAAACTGATGACATCAACTAGGTCATCGGTACGAGGCTGCTAGCGANTCAAATAAAGTTTAATGTTACAACTAATCGTGGATCCCTTTAAGAAGGCCGGCACAGCCAACTTCAAATGGCTCTAATTCAGCTGTTTTAAAATATATTGAGCTGAAATTTTGCATGATCGTAGCTAAGAATGATCCAAAATTTAGCATGGTGGTAGCCAAGAGCAATCTCCATTAGATTTTGAAAGTCATCTCAGTTTAAGCTAAGTGCCAATGCCAGTTTGAAAGAAGATAATTTCAACCAATTCTAGACACATAAAGCTGATAATTAGTATAATAGTAGCCGACAATAATCTTCAACAAATGCACATTAAAAATTCAAGATGGCCACCACTTCTAATGTCATGTGGCTATAACTGAAACATTTTTCAAGCTACTTAGTTTAAACTTGGTGTAGTCTATTGGTAGCTGAGAGCGATCTTTATGATTGGAAGTCAAAATTCCAAGATGGCCACCTTAGCTCAATCAGAAAATGTTAGATATTAAGCTGAAATTTAGTCTGGTGGTTGCTGAAGGTGGTGCCCAACAGATTCTGAATAAAAAAAATCAAACAAGATGGCCACCAAAGCTAATTTTAAATGGTTGTAACTCAGCTATTTTTAGACATAATGAGCTGAAATTTGGTGTGTTGAGATGTGCGATTACCAAAATATAGTAAAGTAAAAACATATATATAAAATAATGGCCACGTGGCAGTATTCGTAAAAGTTCCTCATGGAACTTTTCTAGTTGCTCCATGTAATTGTTGTGTTGCAGACTGGCCACTAGATGTCGCCCAGTTTTCAGCTACTGGTTCAGAACCTGAAAACCTGTAACATACTGTGTATATATATATAT